TTTTTTTCCTGTGTCTTTGCACTCCCCTTTGAAAAATCATTATAATGAATGAAAGCTGAGAAAAATATTAAAAAATGCAAGCGGAATATCAGCTTGTTATTATTATTTTTTTTTTTTTTGAGTAGCCTCGAGATGCTAGTCACTAATCGGCCGTCGTTTCACGTCCGCTTTGGTGGACCAGTCACTATAGAGTGCTCCGCTTCTGACCCTAATGCAGTGCGTTCGATTGTGGCCTCGGCGGTCACATCTAAATTGAGGCACAAAAGTAGATACTTAAGTACTGCTCGATGTCGTGCACGTTAAAGAACACCAGATGGTCAAAATTTGCGGAGACCTCCAGTACGGCATCCCTCACACTCAATACGTTTTTTTTTACGTAAAACGACACATACTACCACTGCTACTACTACTATATACTACTACTACTACGAATACTACTACTACTACCCCATTTCGCTTGCGTTCGTCTTCTCGTCGCTCCTGCATCGTGCCTTCGCCAACCCTGTGAACGCAGTTTCAGCAGAGTGACGTGGTGCATCACGGTCACAATACACGATCCTTGCCAGCCTTCCCTACAGTACACGCACTGACTGATCCATCCCACAGAAACGGGTAATGCATAACAGAACATGCTGAAACGACACAATATCGATGGCATACATGCGCAAGTAGGCTGGGGCACGTCATGCGCGCGTGACTTTGCTTACACATGTTGTTCTCGTTGCGTATGCATCATGTGATTCTCCAGCCCCGATACCGAAGAGAACAGAGAAGGATTGAGGCTCGCGATGGCTACACGGGAGTGGCAAGGGATTAAAGCTTGCTTCTTCGCATCATGCTTTGTTGGCTCGCGGTGAAAAATCACCGTGGTAGAACGCTTTTCATTAGGCACGCAAGAACTTCTAGTGTCTAACTACAACTTATTATGTCACCTAGAAATGGACGCTTCAAAAGTAAATTACAAACAAAACAAAAGCCACGTGCACATTACACTTTTTACCTGAAGGGGCTGCAGCAAGTGGGTTACAATGTCAAAGATAACACGCCTTCATTGGCACAACACACTTTGTTCTCTTTATAATCCATTTCATTCTGTCAGGAAACTACCACAAAACGAAATAATAGAAATATTATATCTGATACGACATTCTAAAATCCTAATTACCATTGCGCAAAGAGGACTGGTTAGGTACATTCATTTTCAAATGCGAGTTTTACCATGAAATGCTTGACATAGGAGCTTTAACCGCAGTTTAATTTGACGCGATGATGGTAATTTCTATCATAGTTCATTTTTCATATTGTGTCAGCTATAATTTTTGAGTAATGGCTTAAGACAAACCTTCAAGTCCTGTTCTGTGTATTTTTTTCATGTTTGTCACTGAAAGACACATGACAAGGGATCTCGTACGGAACAAGCGTATTCAAGCATACGGAGAATGTATGCTAAATACACAGTTGATTGTAAACATGATGGCGCCTATCTCAGGCTTCGCTGTATAAAGTATAACAATTTGGTGACCTTCAACACCACTGAATCAACAAGAGCATTCCATGAGTGGCGCTTCATGGTTTTTTATTCGTTCTTCAGCTACCCGCGGCTGCCCAGAAAAACTTGCTCTTCCTTTCCCATCGCAACACCAGGTTTTCAGGGTGGTTCTTCAGTTCCTTCGGGGCACTAGACAGCTGTCTGTAGAAGGCGGTCGCCGCATCCTCGGCCATAGACGTCACTTTTATTTTCTTACCCCATCTTTAAATCTCCCTCCTACCCCTGTAGATGCTGAGACGTGCGTGCACTTGAGGTTGCAGAAATAGCGTCTTTTTCACTCCTTATGCTCTTCTTTTAATCGCTCGCAGCTTTTCAGCTTTGTCTTTGTTGAACCTAATAGTGTTTGGAAATATCAATGTTTTCGTTTTTTACATGAATAATGGCTTCACACCACGCTCGAAACAAAATTTGGTCTTGAATAGCGCTCATATATGCAATCATTTATAAAAAAGGCATTTATAGGCATTTAGACACGAACACCCAAAATATAGACATTTATAGGCAGTATAAAAACACCATAAAAGCCCTTCTTAACCTCTAATTCATGCTCATATATCAAAATGACACGCAAGGAACGCAAGGAACAAAAAAGGCATTTGCCTATAATCCGGTCTCTAGTCGTCACGCTCCCGTGAATTTCCATGCAGGCATCACTGCACATGTGTCCAAGTCGTAGTAATCACTGCATGATCTAGTGAGGCTGTTATCACAAATGCGTAAAATCGCAAGTTTTTTACTGTGACATATGCAAACGAATATTTGTGAACATCGAATATTCGAGGAATGTTTGAATTAGTTCGAATATTCGAAATTTTTGAATATGTAGTTATCGAATCGAAAACGAATATTACAAATGCAATATTCGACGAATATTAGAAACTTTCGAATATCCGCACACCCCTAGAGAATGGGCATTCAGGTACACTTTGAAAGTGAAATAAAATATATTCTCAACATTTGCTGTGTGTCTATTGGTGTGGAGTGTCGTTGCATACAGACCAAACTCACAGGCATGTTATACCCTTGAAATTTTACGGCAATACGCTTTTGAAGGGGCAGTAAACAGGCTCCGGCTTTGTTTTACGCCCCCAAACGAGCTCACCAGACCCTTTATTTCGAAAAATGATTGTCGTGCTATTTTACATCAGACCAATGGCCTTAGTACGCACAGTGATCCAACTTGACCATGGGCAACTTGATGTACCACTAAGTTTGTTGATTGGGTCTTTGCCCTACGAAACAGCGTCTCGGTCCTGAGGGAACGCAGTACTGTCCCCACTGTTCGCATTGTCATTTTCTTGTGTTGCCCTCGGCTATTTTGTAGAGCCCGAGACTATGGCAAAAAGATTGTCAGAACGAAAGCGTCCGAGATAAACAGGCGTCTCACTACTTTACTACTAAGGGAAATGGTGCTTTTCAAACAGCTCGGGGTCACGTGATCTCAAGTTATGTCACATATGGCATCATTAGCGACGCGATAGGCTTGAACTGGCTACGTCTTGTCAAGCGATTTTGAGGTCACGTGACCAAGGAGAGGGGCGCAATAGAAGGCGGAGGCCAGCAGGGAAGGTTCGTTTTGTTGCCATCATTATGCTTCCACGCTGCGTACCCTGTCAGATTAAAGAGCCCGGCAAAGGAAGTCCGCGTAATCAAAGTCACTCCACTGTGGTACTCATGGACGTGTCGGCGTTGCATAGTGTTGCGGGCTGGCATCTACCCAACGGGTTTCTGCTGACGTGGGTTGCAGAGTTGTGTCGGACCCAAACTCCTGTGGTAGCGTGGAGTAGCTTCTGTCTTGGATCTTGAGGGCGACTGTCATTACTGATGGATTGAGAAGACACTGGGTGGCACAGCAGACATGATTTAATAACAACAAAGGGAAAAAAATCTAGAAGAGAAAAAACAAACTCTCGATAACCAAACAACAGTAAAAAAAGATAGCAACGCTGCCAACAAAATTGCCAAAAATAAATTTCACTACAATAATCAGTTCTTGACTACCCCTACCTACAGTAATAAACGCAGTCTGGTCACTTTGACATTGTCGTCGGGTCGTTGCTTGAAGGGAACTCTCTTACTTCATTCAGTTCATCGCCGTAAGTCCAGCCTCTGTTGTGTTAGGTCTGCGGTAAATGTTGCTGACGATCCTCATAGGTCATCAACCTGATGCATCATGGACAGCCGTGCTGCCTTTTGTCGGTTGCCGTCAGTGACGTGGCACGGCGTCTTAGTTGCGCTTCAACTTGGGGTAGTCAACACAATGTATTCAGTGAAGAAAAGTTTATTTAAGTGCAAAAAAAGGAGCCCTTTTAATTTTATACAGCCAGTCACACAGCACACCGCATGGAATTCTACATCACAACATGGCCCGCAGTCTTTAGGCGATTTTTTGGCATCTAAAAGACCAGGCCGAGTGACTTTAAATAATCAAGCAGCTGCAGCAAGTGCGTATTCATACAGAAGTTTGCCTAATGTGCAGACCCAGATCACAAATGAATTTGCAACTTCATCATAAAGCTTAGAATAACAGAGCTGAGCTTGTTGGTTCATTAAAAAAAAGACAGGGCTTGCAAGGTTAGTAGGTGTTAGTGCTGCCTAACTTCCATCTTTTGCCTGCGTTTGCTTGCCCCGTCTTTTTTATGATAAATTTATCATAAAGCTTGCCAAAGGCACATGTGTTCAAGTATAAACTTGAACGCATGAATCCAAAAAGAATTTTTTTTAGGAGGTTCAATTATATGTTAGACCTAACCAAATTAATCAAACAATTACACTAGCGAATGTATGATGCTAATGCTAATTGTGCTCTTTAGCTAACATATATTTATTGTGGTGTAATAGCAATTAACTGAAGCAGACGAAAAATTATCCTCAGAACAGAAAACTATGCATGATAACAATTTGTGGCACTGATAGGAGCAATGCTTCTTCTTGGTTTGAGTGGACAAAAGCACGTCTCTGCCAAAGTATAGTACACGGGGAAGCAGATGCAAGGATAAAAAAATGAAAGAACTTTTGAAAGGTTTTGACTACTACAGAAAATGTTGCACTGGCAGAAAGTATTCTTGACTGAAATACAGTTATATGTGAATATTTCTGTGGCATTAACAAACATTTCCTCTGCAACAGCTGTGTAAAGAAAGAATTTCTTACACTTACTGAACAAAAAAAAAGTGGTTTGTTCAGAACTTTAGAAAATATTGATAAATTTGTCTTGGGAAAACCAGCCATTCCATCATGAAACTTAGGAAATTTTTTTTTTAATCAATGATCATAGCCACAATGATATTTTGTTTTTGCTATAAATTCAATGCTACAAAAGTGGAACAGGCTTCAGCTGCATGCCTTGTAGCTTCTTTTCAAAGATGAATGTTCTCTGAGCATGGTGGCGTACGTTTTCGGCTACAAATGTTGTATGTTAAGTTTGCTACATCACAGTTTGCCCTCTTAGTCCATACAGGAGCTGATGAATGCCCTGGAGATGCGCAAGTACGAAGCCATTCAGCTGACCTTTAAGCAGGTGTCCAAGTTCTTCAGTGAGGTGTTTAAGAAGCTTGTTCCCCAAGGACATGCCACACTTATGATGAAGACTGACAGTGAAGATGGTACTGCTCAGGTAATTCCTATTTCTTTATGTCCTGTTTGAAACATGACTACATGCCATGCTGTCATGCCAAACTGAGTAGCCGCCGAGATCGTCACGTTCCTTGTTGAATGCAGGAATCAATTTATGGGGGCTATACACATGGGGAGCCGCCCGGATAAAATACTGCTCACAATTGCTTCAATCAATGCTCCCTCATACTGCTAATAGTTTTCCTGGAGCATGATCTTAAGCTTTGGCAAGCATTCTTTGGTCTCCAACCTTGGGCAATCATGCTCGACCTCTGCTTTTTCGTCTTCGCAATTTGGGGTATGCTGTTATCATTGCCTGGCAATTTCTGTGTCAGCCCTGCGCTTGAACTTCGCTCCTGTCGTTCCATGGTTCTTGCTTATGGCTTAAAGCCTCTCAAACTCTGTTGTTTTCTCTTGGGTGTTTTTGAATCCTGGCAGGCTCGCCAAATTTGTGGTGATGATGTGGCTCAGTTGAGCCAACACACAAGGTTAGGTCAACTGGAACATACAGGCATAAAGACATTTAATGTTCGTGGGCACTCTGCAGCAATGCATGGCAGTGACAGTTGAGGCAAAGCACAGACTTCCAGCACAAGCGGCATTCTCTCAGAAAAAGAGCAAAAGAGAACAGTTCAATACAGAGTTCCAAATCTTTGCTATGCAGGCTTTAGTGTGGACAAAGGGTGGAACTGACAGACACGTTACACATGAACATACAAAGAAAAAATTGGCAGGCCCTTAAGCTTCACCTTTAAGAGTTAAACGAGATAACGATACATATATCTAGTGCGTACTTCCATCACTTGATGCAGGGGTTCTCAAGCATGTTGGTGCCAGGGAACACTGTTAAGCTACATAATTTGCCAAGGAACCCCCCTCCCCCTTGGCAAGTTTTTTTTAAGTTTTTATTTTCAGTGAATTCGAGTTCAAAATTTGTGCGGCAAAACACTTTCAAAGTAAGCTCTATGTTTGGCCTTCTTAGGCATGTTGAAGAATGCACAATCGTGTCTAGAGGGCTAAGCATAGTGCACCGCACGTGCGGGGCCAACGGTGGTGGTGGACAAATGAGCGTAGCAGAAGCTCAGAGCCTAGGCGTAGTGGCGTGTATCTTCAAATAGCTGAAATGTGCATGGTGGTAATATAAGGTCCCCGAGAGGCTGGCCAGCTATAAACTAGTGGCGGGATTAATTGTGAAGCTTGCGCGTTTATGTTTCCCACCAACATGTGTTTATCTATGCTCGGGTGTGAATAATGCAGGGGTGGAACAGCTGCACCATTTTGCACCCAATCACGCTTGCTGTGCCAAACTCTCCTATCAGCACCATACTGCACCGCAGCATCAGAATTTAGCTGCAAAGTGCGAAAGCCATCAAACGCCAGGCCCAGAAACAAGGATGAAACATTGTCTTTTTGGTTTCATCGAAACGGTCACATTTCATACAGGCTGTGATCGCTCCTGGAGAAGCCGTGAACTTTGATAATAAGGGCATGGTCGCGATCACTATGGGCGCGCCATCACGACAGGCATCAGCATGAATAGCTAGTGAACACTTCTACGTGCTACTCTATCAATGCGAAGAGACTGCGAGAAGAGCATCTCTCCCTGGCACGGCCGTATTCTCTTACACCAGTGTTTTCTAGAGTTACGCGATATTTGATCTAAAGAGATGGCAGCCAGCTTTACAATTTGTTGCTATTGCTTCTTTGTTTTGCTATTCTGGTGAAGCTGTTTTTTTTTTATAACATGATGGCAGCGTTTGTAAATGAAACAAAAGAAGGCATTAATGGTGCTCAAAGAAGGGGGGGGGGGGGGTCTGATTCCCGGAACAGCCTACAAGCGCACATCACATCTCATCGAGTGTATTCTCGTTCATTTGGCCGCTGTGCTTCGCGCTTACCGACTCGGCGGTTGACGCTCGCGCGTTCAGCTAAAACTTATGAACCCCCCCTTACGCAGGGGTGTCTGTGTAAGCAGGCGTTTGGTGCGTAGCGACAATACAGACCCGAGCTAACGGGGGGGTTCCGACTCGCTCCCATGCCTAGCCATATGTGGCTGAGCCCTGTCCGAGGAAAAGGGGCTCCAGGGCGTTGAGCCGATGCCGGGTGATTGAACCTTTAAGCCCCCCCCTCCCCCCCCAGTGGAGGCGGCACACCCGTTTGGCCTCAGCTTCATGTAGATGTCACCCCTGGGCTGACCCACCCAGTCGCCTTTTCCTATCTCTCTCTTCCTGCATCTTCGTCTTTCTCTCACTTTTTATCTGACCTGTCACCTTCTTTTATTGACTTCCGAATTTTCGGACGGCGAGGGTTAACCTTGCGTAGTTGCTCAACCTTAGGCAGTTATATCTAATTATAACAGCCATGTACGGCTAGTGCTCACGTTTCCTTCGCGTATTGTAGTGTCCCCTCGTTGGGCTCTGAGGTGGGCTGGCCGAATAAAGAGCATTATTTATGGCATCTCCCAGCACTTTTACAACTGATCGTCCCTTAAAGAGATGGCGCACCGATGCTCTTTTTGAACTGCTCCTGACAAGGAAAGACAACTTCCCCATTATATAGTATTACATAGTTCATTGCGACAGCACAGAAAAGAAGGCAAAAATCTTCTCACCATTTTTAGTGCCAAAGTATCTGATAGAAACCCTGGATGCGGGCTACAAAGCCTCGAAAACTGTCAGTGGTGACCTCCTTCTCAAACTTAAAGACCATAAATAGTACGAGCGACTACACAAACTGTGAGCATTTGGTGATCATTCCATGACCATTACACCCCAAAGAACACTGAACACCATAAAGAGTGTTGATCAGATGGCGACCTTGTGGAACTATCAGATGAGGAACTGTTGGCAGACTGGAAAGATAAGAACGTCATCCAGGTCATCATCATCACCATCATAAGCCTGATCACGCCCACTTCACGACAAAGGCCTCTCCCATGTTCCGCCAGTTAACTAGGTCGTGTGCTTGCTGCTGCCAATTTACACCCCCAAACTTCTTAATCTAATCTGCCCACCTAACCTTCTGTCTCCCCATAACCCGCTTGCCTTCTTTGGAAATTCACTTAGTTACCCTTAATGACCAGGGGTTATCCTGTCTACGCGGTACATGCTCGGCTCATGTTCGTTTCCTCTTCCAGGTGGAACGCATCAAAATACGAAGAGAGAACAAAGAAATTCTAACGAGACACATTATACTTACTTTTGGATCGACAACACTTCCCGCAGAAATTGTTACAGGCTACCTTAAACTGCCCGTGAGGCAATACATTCTCAATCCGCGGCGCTGCTTCAAGTGCCAGCGCTTTGGCCATGACACTCAGAGCTGCCGCGCAAAATGTACCACGGGACATTCAGCAAACGATGAGTGTAACTCACAAGTTCACTGTGCCAACTGTGAGGGTGATAATCCTACATATTGCAGGTCATACGTGGCCTGGAAGAGGGAAACAGAAACCATCATGATGAAAATGAAACTAAACATCAGCTTTCGCAAAGCGAGACAGTGTGTTTCCCTGTATTTTGCAGGGAACACATCATACGCCTAAGTGGTGCGAGGAGGGTCTCCAGCACTATGGTCATGGAGGAAGAATGGCAGGAGGAGAAACTCATCTCCTTGCCGCGCCGCGATTGTCACCCCCAGGGAGCAGCCGCGGACGTCGTGACAGCACCGCATACAGAACCACAGCCGAACTGCCGTGCTAGAGCAGCAGATGCGAGAAGCATCTGCTGCTCATTGCACTTCTCAGATACGCTCGCTGAACCTCTCATAAGCACTTCATAAAGTTGAAATTCACACAGCCTGATAAACTAGTGCAGAGTATGGCTGTTGACACTGGCCCGACAGTCCCAACATGGGTGTGGTACCGGTTAACCTAGGGTCGACTTTGGGGACCCAATGAAGTTATCTCATCATATCATGTGGCTTACACTGCCAGAGGCCAAAATCTGTCTGAAGCTAACAGCAAGACTGCCAAGGGTAGGGTGTCGATTTAGGTTTCAGTAGAATGCGTGTAAGATTTCTGATACATTAGTTGAAAGTTCTCTAACGAAGTTTTTCGTTCATTTTGCTGAGTAACAAAATGCAACAGTGATATCTGCGCGCACGCACTTGCACACATTCACACAGACTATCGCCTTCTTAATATCTAGCACGCCTTAGCCCTCGGGCTGCTATCCTTATTGCAAACTCCTCAAACTTTCTATCACGGACAACGCTGTTTTTTGTTGTTATTGTTCTGAACCAAAGATGCCGACGCTGACACCGCGGAAACCAGCATTTCAACTAAACGAGCTCTTTAGTGCTGTAGCGTCAAAATGCAACCGCTTTTTACAGGTCAACGTTTGCTGCTGTCTGTGCATTTATACCACAAAAATACTGTTAGCCAGTGAGCTGCATATGCAATTAGGAAATCAATTTTGTTGAAGCAGAGTCACAGTGTAATAATTTATTGACATCTATGTACATCTGTATAACCAGCGTAATAAACTAGCGAGGCTCCCCGGCAATACACATGCGGATCGAGTTGCTCACGAGTTAGCGCCTTGGCCCATCCTCCGCGAGCGCCATCTTTCACATCAAATGAAAACATCCCAGGCGGCGAACACAATCTGGATGCAGCGCCGGGTGCAGTGTCATCCCCTAACTTATTTTTACATCGTGGTCGCGACGAAGCCTACCCAATGTACGCGTCTGTCCTGTGCCTCTCTTGAGGCCATGAACACCATTGGACCACTGGCGCATGCTGTGTTTGAGGAGCGGCGAGGTCCCCTCGACCGCTCCAATAAAGACAAAACTCTATTTACAGGACCTACTTAAGGCCCTGTAAAATCACTTTTCTTTCTTGACGCACAGCGCACACACTCATTCAAAATGAATACCATATTACAATGGAATGCTAGAGGACTCATACCGAACCTCGACGACATACACAAACTTCTTAGCAAAGTCGGTCCAAGAAGTGCTGTGTGTTCAGTCGATGCATGTAAACCCTATACACACGAATTTTCTCAGCCAATATGTTATCTTTTAGAAGGATCGCCAGAATGCTCTTGCATCCTCTGGTGGTGTTGCAATTGTACTTGACAAAAATGTAGCATGTCAACACTTTCCGCTCCAAACGGCACTGGAAGCAGTAGCTTCTCGAGCTGTTATTGGAAAGAAACTCATCACAATCGGCTCACTATACATACCACCACACAACCAGCTGCACAAACACGACAAACACGAATTTCAATCATTTACTGATGAGTTGCCCGAGCCTTACGTTGGCCTCTGTGATTTTAATGCTCATAGCAGCTTGTTGGGGGACTCTCGCATTGATACGCTGGGCCGCCTCATTGAAATTTTCTTTTTTCTATGGGAGCATGTTCACTAAATAAAAATAAAGACACCTTTTTAGCCTCGCAAACAAATCTTATTCATCAATCAATCTTAGCATCATATCTCCATCAATTTTACTTGAATTTAGCTGAAAACTGATTAAAAACTCATTTGGGAGTGACCACTTCCCAATACTACCCTAAACACAAAAACAAGATCAATCTCCATCGCTGGCTCCTCAGTGGGAACTTCATAGAGCCTACTGGGAGGAGTTCCATAACATTGCTCATATCTTGTAGACTGAGATGGCTTCTTTAAGTATTGCTGCTGCTGTAGAGTATTTTACCACTTTTATAATTAATGCTGCTTTTAAAAGCATACTTGAAGTAACTAGGGCAACAAGCAAACGTGTACCCTGGTGGAATGATGAGTGTTGCAAGGCTCGGAGAAAATACTCTAAGCGTGGGGTTTTTTACGCGACTGTCCTATAGCAGTGAATCTTATAAATTTCAAGCAAACCAAATCGCAAAGCTACAGAACGCGTCGCCAGGCTAGAAGGGAAAGCTGGCAGAATTTCATATTCGGGATTAACTTTTATAAAGGTGGACCAAAGTATGGAATAGTGTGAGAAAAGTACAAGGTCAACCAGGTTATTCGGTGCCTTTAGTGAATACCCAAGGGGAAAGCCTGAAAGACCAAGCTGACTCTCTGGGAGCACATTTCCAATATATATTCAGCTTGACACACTATTCAGACCACTTCTAAAGGTACAACTTGTGAACGACAAAGGTTAGATACCGGTAGAATATCTGCAAATAGTGAGGTGTATAATTAACCATTCTGACTAGCAGAGCTACAGGTCACGTCGAACAGCTGTAACAAATGTGCTCCAGCTTCTGATCGCCTTATTTATGACATGTTAAAGCACTTACCCCAGGAAGCACAAAAAACATTACACTCTCTGTACAATACCATCTGGTTTTCCAGCGATATCCCCTCCTCATAAAAAGAAGGTAGTCATATCCTATTTTCATTCTTATATGAGACTACTTTTTATTCTTATATTGAAACAGGGCAAGGATCCGTCCTTCGTCATAAAATACAGGCTGATTGCGCTGACAAGTTGCTTGTGTAAGCTTTTTGAAAAAATGATTAACCATCAATAAATACATCTTCTAGACACATCAGTGTGGCTTTCGAGAAGGTCAATCCTCCACTGATTACCTCATACGTATTGAGGCGGAAATCTGTGAAGTTTTTGTACGCAAGCGATTTTTTTCTCACAGTGTTCCTTGACATGGAAAAAGCATACGACACAATTTGGCGGTTCGGAATACTGAGAGATCTATCTCACTTAGGTGTAGGAGATAGAATGTTGACAATAAAAGTTACCTATTGAATCGCACTTTCCTAGTCCGAGTGGAAAATGTGCTTTCACAGACATTTGTTCAGGAAACAGGAGTACCACAAAGTGGCGTCACCAGCTGCACTCTTTTTATTGTTGAAATGATTTCGCTGCGTCTGCACATCGCAAGGAACATGTTGCACGTATGTGGATGATGTAAGGTAAGCTTTAGATCCTGCAACTTGGCAGCTTGTGAGTGACAGGTTCAGCTTGGTTTAAACAAGGGGGCAAAATGGGCGGATGAAAATGGTTTCCGCTTTAAAGCTCAAAAAAGCACATGTGTCCTTTTCACGAGAAAGAGGGGCCTGCATCACGATTCCGACATGCACCTACAGGGTCAACTCCATCTGTACAAACAGAACACAAGTATTTAGGCTTCATTGGAGACACAAAGCTAACTTTTGTGCCACACATAAAATATATCAAAAAAACAAGTGTATAAAAACAATATATGTTTTAAAGGTCCTGTCACATTTATTATGGGGCATTGACAGAAAATGTCTCCTAAACCTGCACAAAAGTCTTGTACACACACGACTAGATTATGGAGCCATAGTCTACCAGTCTGCCTTCCCGAGCACATGAAAAATTCTTGATCCTGTCCATCATCTGGGCATTCGCCTCTCTACAGGTGCATTTCTTACAGTCCCTGTTGAAAGCCTATATGTAGGGTCGAACGAGTGGCCGCTCCGCCTTCGAAGAACTTGTATGTCCTTGTATTACTTGAAAGTAAAAGCAGATAAGGAAGAAGATAAGGAAGAACACACTTCACAATGAATAATTTGCCCAGTTCTGCCCTTTTTGATAACCGGCCTTTGGTGATATAATACTTCTCACTTCACATGACAGGTCTAGCTGAAGAAACCTGTGTCCCGCTCCTTGAAAACGGTCTGCCTCCTGCCGCATATTCGCTGCTGAGGCAGTGGCAGCTCATTGACTGTGATTTATCCTTTGTAAAAGTAACATAACACGCTCTTATTGCATATATACAGTAGACTCTTGGTAAACGAAACCTGAAGGAACCGGGAAAATATGTTCTATTTAACAGGAGTTCCGTTTACTGAGTTTTGAACATGGGTGCAGAATACAAGCCCGAAACCAAACATTGCAGAGGCAATAGTTTTGTTTAAGCAGTAGTTCCGTTTAACAGATTTCCGTTTACTGAGAATCTACTATACGTACATACTTTGTCAAATTGCAGCTCAAATACTCCTATTCTGAATTCTTTACGGATGCTTCAAAGTATTGCACTGTTGTGTTCCATGCTGCCGTTGGACCATCTTTTTGTGATTCTGGTATTCCGCACCATAATTGAAGCATCTTTACTGCAGAAGCTTACGCGATCCTTGGAACTGCAACGCGCAGTTATATCCATGGATTTTTCGAGCGTCGTTACAGCTCTAAAATCTCTGCATGACCACAAAAATCTTGTCCTTGTGTCACTTTACACACTTTTATGCACGATGTACACACCCAAGCTACACATAGTACACACATAGTACACACATAGTAGTGTGCTGGGTGCCAGGTTACCGTGATATATTGGGGGAAAAGTCTTGGCGGATTAACTTGCTGCATCCGCCCAAGGCAATGCTGACGCCAATACACCCATAGCTGTCCATGTGCTTGACTCGAAGCCTTTCCTTTGATGGAAGTTCAAAGCGTGTTGGCAGCAGTTATGGGACAGGCAAACGCAAAACAAATTACATGTGATTAAACCGAGAGATGGAAATAGGCCAACAGTATCCAGATCACGCTACACACAAGTAGCGCTCACTCGATTACAAATAAGACACACACACAGCACACATGCATATTTGTTGTCTGGGTGCGAGCAACCCATCTGTGAGACATGTGGGAAAGCGTTTGCGGTTCTCCATATACTTGTTCAGTGCAATGAATTACACTCTCTAAGAAAAAAGCACTTTATATTACCCTGCCGACAGCAACTTCCATTACATCCTGTCATGTTCATCGATAGGGATTTTCTTTTTAAGCTTGAATCACTGTTCATGTCGAGCGTGATTCGTAGCACAACCTCTGTACAGAGGATAGTTATAGTGCGAGAATAAAATGACATAGAGACAAGGACACGAAGGACACTCTCTGTGTCGTTTTATTCTCGCACTATAAGTATCGTCATGCCATACCAACTAGCCAAAGCTGCCACATTTCTGTATACAGGTTGAGGCTGCGGTGGTCACATTAAAGACAGTACCTGCCTCGTTGTCCTTGGGCTCAAGGGCATGTATTCACGAGGCATTTGTGCTAATTTCATATCTCTCCAATCTAGTTTTACTACCACAAACAGTGCCTATTATTTCTGCTACACACATTTCACGTCACTTCCATGATTTTAATACTTGCATGTTTGTCATGCAAGGTTCTTTTACCCCCGAATGCAGAGATGTTACTTGGCTCGCGACTTCGACTTGACTTGAGCAAGTCCGCGTGAAGCAAGCAGCGGACTTCAAATCGCCCAAGTCAGCCTTCGCGTTTCATAGATGCTCAGGCTGTCTTGCTTGGTCAAGTCAAGAACGAGCTTCAAAGCAGAAACACGCTGCTCGCCTGCTAACGAGGGTAATAATGAAGTTGTTCGCGTAAGGCACGCATTACACCAAAAAAAGACCATACGTTTTAAAATAACTATAAAACGAAGGGCCACAAGCATATTCTTGCCATTTTACGGCTAACGAGCGGCACGTGGTGCCTGCCACCACAGCGATGCGCAGTGTTGCTTCTGTAAAGCGTTCGTTGCCCGCTGGTTTTAGTGGCCACCCAAATGCGATGCGTTTCTCCATGGTTGCTTGTTTGGAGCAGAAACAAGCATCGCGTTGGGTTCTTTCGTCGTTTTTTTTTTTCTCAATCGAACGCCATGGCATGTATTTGTGCTGACCTGGCTCACGAGGTGACGCGATTTTCACGGTATTTGCCTCTGTTCGCCTGTGTGCATGCCTGTAATGGGCTAGGTCGCAGTTATTATGAAAAAAAAAAAAACAAGTTCTGGGAACAAATGTGATTCGTATCCTTTTGTTGAGCTTGGTAAACAAGAGAAAAAGCGGGGTCAGGACATTGCCCTCAGCAGAATTCTGTCTCGCGGGGTGCAGCAATGTATCGCTGCATGATGGTGACGCGGATTAAAAAACCCGTGATAGGGGCACCTCTTTTTGTGTGTGTGTAATTTTACGTAGCGTTGTGCTACAAGCGATGCCTTTCTGAGCGAGAAACAGCGCCCTAGACGGGACGAAAGGATAGACGAGGCACACGGACACAGCACCGAGTCAATTTTTTTTTTACCGAAAGAGACGGAAAGTGTCGTCGTGTTATAGAAAAACAGAAATAGCCTTTGCGGTTACGGAACACTTCGGCGTTGTCGACACCGGGGCTATTAATACGCACGTGTGTGTAGTCGACAAAACCTGTCACGCAAGGGAACTCAGCCACTTCATAACAGTCCGCCGGCTGCGGAAAGCGCACCAGCATCGCGTACAGGTGCTTTGCGATGAGTAGCGTAACTTTTCCGACTGCACGGCACACTGTCGACTACGGAATGCGGACGAAATTTCCGGTGACTGGCTGGAATGTGCCAGCGCTGTAAAACCTGAGAGCCATCAGTAGCTGTAACACTGGATGCACGGGCTGTCTTCGGTTGTCCCCACTTTCACGGAGCGGCAACATAACGAGCAGCTGCCCCACGGCGTTCTTCATGAATCTGTACCTAGCGTGGAATTGTTGCTCGTCGTACAACTCCATCGGATTTCCTTGGTCACGTAAAGCGGTTCCAAGAATCTTCGGCAGGCAGTGCGCCTCAAAAAATGCTACGCTTATGGCGAGGCAAGCAAACTCAAAAGCGGCCACCTTTCACGCGACGTCCATTCGAGAGGTGGCCATGTTGGAATAACACGTCAAGTCGCTTTCAAGCAAGCCCCGCAGCTGACTTGAAACTTGTCCTGACTTCGAGCGAGCCAAGTCGCCTTCAAGTCATCCGCAAGTTCGAGAACGATTTATGGCGACCGGCAAGACGGTCTTGAGTCAAGAACGAGTCAAGTACGAGTCAAGTAACATCTCTGCATTCGGGGGTTAGATGTTTAGTAAGAAGAGCTCTCTAAGGTTCAAACCTACGAGCGACTTAACAAAGGGACAAAGCCGTTTGTACCAAAACTCAAACAAGAAGTTTAATTGAAAAGTAAAAAGACTAAAATCCCCCATAAAATGAAACAACTAATAAACAGTTGACTGGACACGGCGAAATCCATCTATCAACACTCAACAAAGAAGTTCAAGGTGTTCAATTGAATCTAACATCCGAATGGGGCTGAGTAGTGGAGTAGGGCAAGATATCTTTTCGGTCTCACCCACACGCTGAATTCGGCGACAATGAGCAAACCGGAATGCGGGGATTCGGGCTTCAGGACGCGGGCAGGACAGGGACGAAGGAACGCTGTCTTCTGACGACACGTCGAGAAACCAGACCGGAACGTGGTGGCTCTGGCTTCAGGAGTGTGGACCTGTCGGTGACGAGAGAACGCAGGCTGGTGGCGATGCGTCGGGGAACCAGGGTCAACCTGGCCAAGCAGCTGGGCGCACAGCTCAGGCCCGTAGCCCGACGGCTGTTGCTCGCCTGTTGGAACCAAAGTCCGCAGGCCCTGGGTAGGAGTTCAGGACCGGATGGCCACGGTCATCTCGAGCGGGAACGTAACGGCAGGAGGCCCCGGCCGAATGAAGTCCTACAGGCCCGGGTCCGACGCCCAATGGCCCATCTTCAGCGCCCGGCCCGGTAACGACCTTCCGCTTGCCCCGTCTTCTTCGAACTGCCCTTGATCTGCTCTGCTCAGGCTTCTTCTTCCGCTCTGGTGCACTTGTCTCGTCCTGATTGGAGATTCTGTACTTTCGTGGTACCCAGCCATTGGGCCTTGAAATCTCCGTGGTCTATGATCATTGTTTACCTTATCTTTTATTTCGTTCACGGGGTGCCACGCGTCCTCGTGCATGCGACG